CAAAATTAAAGCTGGGCTCGTCCAGGATTTGAACCCGGGTTGAAATTTGAGGTGTTAAACCATATTTTAAGATGGGCTCGCCCGGGATTTGAGCCTGGGACTTGAACCCGGGACCTCTCGCACTCAAAGCGAGAATCACATCCCTAGACCAACGAGCCATGGTGTATGGGATTTCTTTTGGTGTGCAATGTGGAAACAAAACTACTGATGCAAAACACATGGAAAATATAGGAGTTGAACCAAAATTAAAGCTGGGCTCGTTCGGGATTTTAACCCGGGACCTCTCGCACTCAAAGCGAGAATCATATCCCTAGACCAACGAGCCATGGTGTATGGGATTTCTTTTGGTGTGCAATGTGGAAACAAAACTACTGATGCAAAACACATGGAAAATATAGGTGTTGAACCAAAATTAAAGCTGGGCTAGTCCGGGATTTGAACCCGGGACCTCTCGCACCCAAAGCGAGAATCATACCCCTAGACCAACGAGCCATGGAACCTGGGTTTTATTTGGTGTGCAAAGTGGAAACAAAACTACAGATGCAACAAAAGTGGAAAATGTATTTGTTGAACCATGAGGAAAGCTGGGCTCATCCGGGATTTGAACCCGGGACCTCTCGCACCCTAAGCAAGAATCATACCCCTAGACCAACAAGCCATGGCACCTGGGTTTTATTTGGTGTGCAAAGTGGAAAGAAAACTACAGATGCAAAAAGAGTGGAAAATTTAGGTGTTAAACCATATTTAAAGATTGCACGCCCGGGATTTGAACCCGGGACTTGAACCCAGGACCTCTCGCACTCAAAGTGAGAATCATATCCCTAGACCAACGAGCCATGGTGTATGGGTTTTATTTGATGTGCCAAAGTGGAAACAAAACTACAGATGCAACAAGGTTGGAAAATTTAGTTGTTGAACCATAATTAAAGCTGGGCTCAACAAGGATTTGAACCCAGGACCTCTCGCACCCAAAGCGAGAATCATACCCCTAGACCAACGAGCCATGGAACATGTGTTTTCTTTTGGTGTGCAATGTGGAAACAAAACTACAGATGCAACAAGATGCAAATATAGTGGAAAAATGTTTTTGGAAAGAACCATGAAAGCTGGGCTCGTCCGGGATTTGAACCCGGGACCTCTCGCACCCAAAGCGAGAATCATACCCCTAGACCAACGAGCCATGGAACCTGAGTTTTATTTGGTGTGCAAAGTGGAAACAAAACTACAGATGCAACAAGGGTGGAAAATGTATTTGTTGAACCATGAGCAAAGCTGGGCTCTCCGGGATTTGAACCCGGGACCTCTCGCACCCAAAGCAGAATATACCCTAGACGCCATGAAACCTGACTTTTATTTGGTGTGCAAAGTGGAAACAAAACTACAATGCAACAAGGTGGAAATTATTTGTTGACCCATAGGAAAGCATCCGAATTAACCCGGGACCTCTCGCACCAAAAGCGAAATCATACCCCTAGACCAACGAGCCATGGAACCTCTTTTGGTGTGCAAAGTGGAAACAAAACTACAGATGCAACAAGGTGGAAAATTTAGGTGTTGAACCATAATTAAAGCTGGGCTCGTCCGGGATTTGAACCCAGGACCTCTCGCACCCTAAGCGAGAATCAAACCCCTAGACCAACGAGCCAAAGTAGAAAGAAAACAAGGTGTATGGGTTTTATTTGATGTGCCAAAGTGGAAACAAAACTACAGATGCAACAAGGTTGGAAAATTTAGTTGTTGAACCATAATGAAAGCTGGGCTCGTCCGGGATTTGAACCTGGGACCTCTCGCACCCGAAGCAAGAATCATACCCCTAGACCAACGAGCCATGGAACATGGTGTTTTACTTTGGTGTGCAAAGTGGAAATAAACTACAGATGCAAAACAATGGAAAATGTATTTGTTGAACCATGAGCAAAGCTGGGCTCATCCGGGATTTGAACCCGGGACCTCTCGCACCCAAAGCGAGAATCATAACCCTAGACCAACCAAGCCATGAAACCTGGTTTTATTTGGTGTGCAAAGTGGAAACAAAACTACAGATGCAACAAGGGTTGGAAAATTTGTTGAACCATAGGAAAGCTGGGCTCTCCGGGATTTGAACCTGGACCTCTCGCACCCAAAGCGAGAATCATACCCCTAGACCAACGAGCCATGGAACCTGGTTTTTATTTGGTGTGCAAAGTGGAAACAAAACTACAGATGCAACAAGGGTGGAAAATGTATTTGTTGAACCATGAGGAAAGCTGGGCTCATCCGGGATTTGAACCCGGGACCTCTCGCACCCTAAGCAAGAATCATACCCCTAGACCAACGAGCCATGGAACCTGGGTTTTATTTGGTGTGCAAAGTGGAAACAAAACTACAAATGCAACAAGAGTGGAAAATTTAGTTGTTGAACCATAATGCAAGCTGGGCTCGTCCGGGAATTAAACCCGGGACCTCTCGCACCCTAATCGAAAATCATACCCCTAGACCAACAAGCCATGGAACATAGGAATTCTTTTGGTGTGCAATGTGGAAACAAATCTACAGATGCAACAAGGTGAAAAATTTAGGTGTTGAACCATAATTAAAGCTGGGCTCGTCCTAGATTTGAAACCGCGACCTCTCGAACTGTAAGCGAGAATCGTACCCCTAGACCAACGACCCATGTTGTATTGGTTTTATTTGCTGTGCAAAGTGCAAAAAAACTACAGATCCAACAAGGGTGGTAAATTTAGGAGTTGAACCATAATTAAAGGTCGCACCCAAAGCGAGAATCAAACCCCTAGACCAACGAGCCTAGGTGTATGGGTTTTTATTTGTTGTGCAAAGTGGAAAGAAAACTACAAATGCAACAAGAGTGGAAAATTTAGTTGTTGAACCATAATGAAAGCTGGGCTCGTCCGGGATTTGAACCCAGGACCTCTCGCACCCTAAGCAAGAATCATACACCTAGACCAACGAGCCATGGTGTATGAGTTTTAGTTGGTGTGCAAAGTGGAAAGAAAACATGGTGTATGGGTTTTATTTGATGTGCCAAAGTGGAAACAAAACTACAGATGCAACAAGGTTGGAAAATTTAGTTGTTGAACCATAATTAAAGCTGGGCTCAACAAGGATTTGAACCCGGGACCTCTCGCACCTAAAGCGAGAATCATACCCCTAGACCAACGAGCCATGGAACATGTGTTTTCTTTTGGTGTGCAATGTGGAAACAAAACTACAGATGCAACAAGGTTGGAAAATATAGTTGTTGAACCATAATGAAAGCTGGGCTCGTCCGGGATTTGAACCCGGGACCTCTCGCACCCAAAGCGAGAATCATACTTAGTTGGTTGCAAAGTGGAAACCATGCAATGGAAAATGTTGTTGAACCATGAGGCTCGTCCGGGATTTGAACCCGGGACCTCTTGCACCCGAAGGAAGAATCATTCCCCTAGACCAACGAGCCATTGAACATGGGTTTTCTTTTGGTGTGCAATGTGGAAACAAAACTATTGATGCAAAACACATGGAAAATATAGGTGTTGAACCAAAATTAAAGCTGGGCTCGTCCAGGATTTGAACCCGGGACCTCTCGCACCCAAAGCGAGAATCATACCCTAGAACAACGAGCCATGGAACCTGGGTTTTATTTGGTGTGCAAAGTGGAAACAAAACTACAGATGCAACAAGGGTGGAAAATGTATTTGTTGAACCATGAGGAAAGCTGGGCTCATCCGGGATTTGAACCCGGGACCTCTCGCACTCTAAGCAAGAATCATACCCCTAGACCAACGAGCCATGGAACATGGGTTTTCTTTTGGTGTGCAAAGTGGAAAGAAAACTACAGATGCAAAAAGATGGAAAATTTAGGTGTTTAACCAATTTAAAGATGGGCTCGCCCGGGATTTGAACCCAGGGACCTCTCGCACAAAGCGAGAATCATACCCTAGACCAACGAGCCATGAATGGGTTTTATTTGGTGTGCAATGTGGAAACAAAACTACTGATGCAACAAGAGTGGAAAATTTAGTTGTTGAACCATAATGAAAGCTGGGCTCGTCCAGGATTTGAACCCGGGACCTCTCACACTCAAAGCGAGAATCAAACCCCTAGACCAACGAGCCTAGGTGTATGGGTTTTTATTTGTTGTGCAAAGTGGAAAGAAAACTACAAATGCAACAAGAGTGGAAAATTTTGTTGTTGAACCATAATGAAAGCTGGGCTCGTCCAGGATTTGAACCCGGGACCTCTCGCACCCGAAGCAAGAATCATACACCTAGACCAACGAGCCATGGAACCTGGATTTTATTTGGTGTGCAAAGTGGAAACAAAACTACTGATGCAAAACACATGGAAAATATAGGTGTTGAACCAAAATTAAAGCTGGGCTCGTCTGGGATTTGAACCCGGGACCTCTCGCACCCAAAGCGAGAATCATACCCCTAGACCAACAAGCCATGGTACCTGAGTTTAATTTGGTGTGCAAAGTGGAAACAAAACTACAGATGCAACAAGGGTGGAAAATGTATTTGTTGAACCATGAGGAAAGCTGGGCTCATCCGGGATTTGAACCCGGGACCTCTCGCACCCTAAGCAAGAATCATACCCCTAGACCAACAAGTCCATGGAACCTGGGTTTTATTTGGTGTGCAAAGTGGAAAGAAAACTACAGATGCAAAAAGAGTGGAAAATTTAGGTGTTAAACCATATTTAAAGATTGCACGCCCGGGATTTGAACCCGGGACTTGAACCCAGGACCTCTCGCACTCAAAGCGAGAATCATATCCCTAGACCAACGAGCCATGGTGTATGGGTTTTATTTGATGTGCCAAAGTGGAAACAAAACTACAGATGCAACAAGGTTGGAAAATTTAGTTGTTGAACCATAATTAAAGCTGGGCTCAACAAGGATTTGAAACCAGGACCTCTCGCACCCAAAGCGAGAATCATACCCCTAGACCAACGAGCCATGGAACACGGGTTTTCTTTTGGTGTGCAATGTGGAAACAAAACTACAGATGCAACAAGGTTGGAAAATTTAGTTGTTGAACCCGGGACCTCTCGCACCTAAAGCGAGAATCATACCCCTAGACCAACGAGCCATGGAACCTGGGTTTTATTTGGTGTGCAAAGTGGAAAGAAAACTACAGATGCAAAAAGAGTGGAAAATTGAGGTGTTAAACCATATTTAAAGATGGGCTCGCCTGAGATTTGAGCCCGGGACTTGAACTCGGGACCTCTCGCTCTCAAAGCGAGAATCATATCCCTAGACCAGCGAGCCATGGTGTATGGGTTTTATTTGATGTGCCAAAGTGGAAACAAAACTACAGATGCAACAAGGTTGGAAAATTTAGTTGTTGAACCATAATTCAGTTGTTGAATTAAAAAAATTTAGTTGTTGAACCATAATGAAAGCTGGGCTCGTCCGGGATTTGAACCTGGGACCTCTCGCACCCGAAGCAAGAGTCTTACCAGTAGACCAACGAGCCATGGAACCTGGGCTTTATTTGGTGTGCAAAGTGGAAACAAAACTACAGATGCAACAAGGGTGGAAAATGTATTTGTTGAACCATGAGGAAAGCTGGGCTCATCCGGGATTTGAACCCGGGACCTTTCGCAGCCAAAGCAAGAATCATACCCCTAAACCAACGAGCCATGGAACCTGAGTTTTATTTGGTGTGCAAAGTGGAAACAAAACTACAGATGCAACAAGGGTGGAAAATGTATTTGTTTAACCATGAGCAAAGCTGGGCTCATCCGGGATTTGAACCCGGGACCTCTCGCACCCAAAGCGAGAATCATACCCCTAGACCACCAGCCATGAAACCTGAGTTTTATTTGGTGTGCAAAGTGGAAACAAAACTACAGATGCAACAAGGGTGGTAAATCTTTTTGTTGACCCATGAGGAAAGCTGCGCTCATCCGGGATTTGAACCCGGGACCTCTCGCACCAAAAGCGAGAATCATACCCTAGACCAACGAGCCATGGAACCTGGGTTTTATTTGGTGTGCAAAGTGGAAACAAAACTACAGATGCAACAAGGATGGAAAATGTATTTGATAAACCATGAGGAAAGCTGGGCTCATCCGGGATTTGAACCCAGGACCTCTCGCACCCTAAGCAAGAATCATACACCTAGACCAACGAGCCATGGTGTATGAGTTTAAGTTGGTGTGCAAAGTGGAAAGAAAACATGGTGTATGGGTTTTATGTGATGTGCCAAAGTGGAAACAAAACTACAGATGCAACAAGATTGGAAAATTTAGTTGTTGAACCATAATTAAAGCTGGGCTCAACAAGGATTTGAACCCGGGACCTCCCGCACCTAAAGCGAGAATCATACCCCTAGACCAACGAGCCATGGAACATGTGTTTTCTTTTGGTGTGCAATGTGGAAACAAAACTACAGATGCAACAAGAGTGGAAAATTTAGTTGTTGAACCATAATGCAAGCTGGGCTCGTCCGGGAATTAAACCCGGGACCTCTCGCACCCAAAGCGAGAATCATTCCCCTAGACCAACGAGCCATGGAACCTGGGTTTTATTTGGTGTGCAATGTGGAAACAAAACTACAGATGCAACAAGGGTGGAAAATGTATTTGTTGAACCATGAGGAAAGCTGGGCTCATCCGGGATTTGAACCCAGGACCTCTCGCAGTCTAAGCAAGAATCATACCCCTAGACCAACGAGCCATGGTACCTGGGTTTTATTTGGTGTGCAAAGTGGAAACAAAACTACAGATGCAACAAGGGTGGAAAATGTATTTGTTGAACCATGAGGAAAGCTGGGCTCATCCGGGATTTGAACCCGGGACCTCTCGCACTCTAAGCAAGAATCATACCCCTAGACCAACGAGCCATGGAACCTGGGTTTTATTTGGTGTGCAAAGTGGAAACAAAACTACAAATGCAACAAGAGTGGAAAATTTAGTTGTTGAACCATAATGAAAGCTGGGCTCGTCCGGGATTTGAACTCAGGACCTCTTGCACCCGAAGGAAGAATCATTCCCCTAGACCAACGAGCCATTGAACAAGGGTTTTTCTTTTGGTGTGCAATGTGGAAACAAAACTATTGATGCAAAACACATGGAAAATATAGGTGTTGAACCAAAATTAAAGCTGGGCTCGTCCAGGATTTGAACCCGGGACCTCTCGCACCCAAAGCGAGAATCATACCCTAGAACAACGAGCCATTGAACCTGGGTTTTATTTGGTGTGCAAAGTGGAAACAAAACTACAGATGCAACAAGGGTGGAAAATGTATTTGTTGAACCATGAGGAAAGCTGGGCTCATCCGGGATTTGAACCCGGGACCTCTCACACCCTAAGCAAGAATAACACCCCTAGACCAACGAGCCATGGAACCTGGTTTTATTTGGTGTGCAAAGTGGAAAGAAAACTACAGATGCAAAAAGAGTGGAAAATTTAGGTGTTAAACCATATTTAAAGATTGCACGCCCGGGATTTGAGCCCGGGACTTGAACCCGGGACCTCTCGCACTCAAAGCGAGAATCATATCCCTACCAAAATTAAAGCTGGGCTCGTCCAGGATTTGAACCCGGGACCTCTCGCACCCAAAGCGAGAATCATACCCTAGAACAACGAGCCATGGAACCTGGGTTTTATTTGGTGTGCAAAGTGGAAACAAAACTACAGATGCAACAAGGGTGGAAAATGTATTTGTTGAACCATGAGGAAAGCTGGGCTCATCCGGGATTTGAACCCGGGACCTCTCGCACCCTAAGCAAGAATAATACCCCTAGACCAACAAGCCATGGAACCTAGGTTTTATTTGGTGTGCAAAGTGGAAAGAAAACTACAGATGCAAAAAGAGTGGAAAATTTAGGTGTTAAACCATATTTAAAGATGGGCTCGCCCGGGATTTGAACCCAGGACTTGAACCCGGGACCTCTCGCACTCAAAGCGAGAATCATATCCCTAGACCAACGAGCCATGGTGTATGGGTTTTATTTGATGTGCCAATGTGGAAACAAAACTACTGATGCAACAAGAGTGGAAAATTTAGTTGTTGAACCATAATGAAAGCTGGGCTCGCCCAGGATTTGAACCCGGGACCTCTCGCACCCGAAGCAAGAATCATACCCCTAGACCAACGAGCCATGGAACATGGGTTTTTTTTGGTGTGCAATGTGGAAACAAAACTACTGATGCAAAACACATGGAAAATATAGGTGTTGAACCAAAATTAAAGCTGGGCTCGTCCGGGATTTGAACCCGGGACCTCTCGCAAACAAAGCGAAAATCATACCCCTAGACCAACGAGCCATGGATCCTGGGTTTTATTTGGTGTGCAAAGTGGAAACAAAACTACAGATGCAACAAGGGTGGAAAATGTATTTGTTGAACCATGAGGAAAGCTGGGCTCATCCGGGATTTGAACCCGGGACCTCTCGCACCCTAAGCAAGAATCATACCCCTAGACCAACAAGCCATGGAACCTGGGTTTTATTTGGTGTGCAAAGTGGAAACAAAACTACAGATGCAACAAGAGTGGAAAATTTAGTTGTTAAACCATAATGCAAGCTGGGCTCGTCCGGGAATTAAACCCGGGACCTCTCGCACCCTAAGCAAGAATCTTACACCTAGACCAATGAGCCATGGTGTATGAGTTTTAGTTGGTGTGCAAAGTGGAAATAAAACAACAGATGCATAAAGAGTGGAAAATTGAGGTGTTAAACCATATTTAAAGATTGCACGCCCGGGATTTGAGCCCGGGCCTTGAACCCGGGACCTCTCACACTCAAAGCGAGAATCATATCCCTAGACCAACGAGCCATGTTGTATGGGTTTTATTTGATGTGCCAAAGTGGAAACAAAACTACAGATGCAACAAGGTTGGAAAATTTAGTTGTTGAACCATAATTAAAGCTGGGCTCAACAAGGATTTGAACCCGGGACCTCTCGCACCTAAAGCGAGAATCATACCCCAGACCAACGAGCCATGGAACATGTGTTTTCTTTTGGTGTGCAATGTGGAAACAAAACTACAGATGCAACAAGGTTGGAAAATATAGTTGTTGAACCATAATGAAAGCTGGGCTCGTCCGGGATTTGAACCCGGGACCTCTCGCACTCTAAGCAAGAATCATACCCCTAGACCAACGAGCCATGGAACCTGGGTTTTATTTGGTGTGCAAAGTGGAAACAAAACTACCGATGCAACGAGGGTGGAAAATGTATTTGTTGAACCGTGAGGAAAGCTGGGCTCATCCGGGATTTGAACCCGGGACCTCTCGCACTCTAAGCAAGAATCATACCCCTAGACCAACGAGCCATGGAACCTGGGTTTTATTTGGTGTGCAAAGTGGAAACAAAACTACAAATGCAACAAGAGTGGAAAATTTAGTTGTTGAACCATAATGCAAGCTGGGCTCGTCCGGGAATTAAACCCGGGACCTCTCGCACCCTAAGCGAGAATCATACCCCTAGACCAACAAGCCATGGAACATAGGAATTCTTTTGGTGTGCAATGTGGAAACAAATCTACAGATGCAACAAGGGTGAAAAATTTAGGTGTTGAACCATAATTAAAGCTGGGCTCGTCCTGGATTTGAACCCGAGACCTCTCGAACTGTAAGCGAGAATCGTACCCCTAGACCAACGAGTCATGTTGTATTGGTTTTATTTGCTGTGCAAAGTGCAAAAAAACTACAGATCCAACAAGGGTGGAAAATTTAGGTGTTGAACCATAATTAAAGCTGGGCTCGTCTAGGATTTGAATCCGGGACCTCTCGCACTCAAAGCGAGAATCAAACCCCTAGACCAACGAGCCTAGGTGTATGGGTTTTTATTTGTTGTGCAAAGTGGAAAGAAAACTACAAATGCAACAAGAGTGGAAAATTTAGTTGTTGAACCATAATGAGAGCTGGGCTCGTCCGGGATTTGAACCCGGGACCTCTTGCACCCGAAGGAAGAATCATTCCCCTAGACCAACGAGCCATTGAACATGGGTTTCTTTTGGTGTGCAATGTGGAAACAAAACTATTGATGCAAAACACATGGAAAATATAGGTGTTGAACCAAAATTAAAGCTGGGCTCGTCCTGGATTTGAACCCGGGACCTTTCGCACCCAAAGCGAGAACCATACCCCTAGAACAACGAGCCATGGAACCTGAGTTTTATTTGGTGTGCAAAGTGGAAACAAAACTACAGATGCAACAAGGGTGGAAAATGTATTTGTTGAACCATGAGGAAAGCTGGGCTCATCCGGGATTTGAACCCGGGACCTCTCGCACCCTAAGCAAGAATCATACCCCTAGACCAACAAGCCATGGCACCTGGGTTTTATTTGGTGTGCAAAGTGGAAAGAAAACTACAGATGCAAAAAGAATGGAAAATTTAGGTGTTAAACCATATTTAAAGATTGCACGCCCGGGATTTGAGCCCGGGACTTGAACCCGGGACCTCTCGCACTCAAAGCGAGAATCATATCCCTAGACCAACGAGCCATGGTGTATGGGTTTTATTTGATGTGCCAAAGTGGAAACAAAACTACAGATGCAACAAGGTTGGAAAATTTAGTTGTTGAACCATAATTTAAGCTGGGCTCAACAAGGATTTGAACCCGGGACCTCTCGCACCCAAAGCGAGAATCATACCCCTAGACCAACGAGCCATGGAACATGGGTTTTCTTTTGGTGTGCAATGTGGAAACAAAACTACAGATGCAACAAGGTTGGAAAATTTAGTTGTTGAACCATAATGAAAGCTGGGTTCGTCCGGGATTTGAACCTGGGACCTCTCGCACCCAAAGCGAGAATCATACCCCTAGACCAACGAGCCATGGAACCTGGGTTTTATTTGGTGTGCAAAGTGGAAACAAAACTACAGATGCAACAAGGGTGGAAAATGTATTTGTTGAACCATGAGCAAAGCTGGGCTCTCCGGGATTTGAACCCGGGACCTCTCGCACCCAAAGCGAGAATCATACTCCTAGACCACCAGCCATGAAACCTGACTTTTATTTGGTGTGCAAAGTGGAAACAAAACTACAGATGCAACAAGGGTGGAAAATGTATTTGTTGAACCATGAGGAAAGCTGGGCTCATCCGGGATTTGAACCCGGGACCTCTCGCACCCAAAGCGAGAATCATACCCCTACAGCAACAAGCCATGGAACCTGGGTTTTATTTGGTGTGCAAAGTGGAAACAAAACTACAGATGCAACAAGGATGGAAAATGTATTTGATGAACCATGAGGAAAGCTGGGCTCATCCGGGATTTGAACCCAGGACCTCTCGCACCAAAAGCAAGAATCATACACCTAGACCAACGAGCCATGGTGTATGAGTTTTAGTTGGTGTGCAAAGTGGAAAGAAAACATGGTGTATGGGTTTTATTTGATGTGCCAAAGTGGAAACAAAACTACAGATGCAACAAGGTTGGAAAATTTAGTTGTTGAACCATAATGAAAGCTGGGCTCGTCCGGGATTTGAACCCGGGACCTCTCGCACCTGAAGCAAGAGTCATACCCCTAGACCAACGAGCCATGGAACATGGGTTTTCTTTTGGTGTGCAAAGTGGAAACAAAACTACAGATGCAACAAGGGTGGAAAATGTATTTGTTGAACCATGAGCAAAGCTGGGCTCATCCGGGATTTGAACCCGGGACCTCTCGCACCCAAAGCGAGAATCATAACCCTAGACCACCAGCCATGAAACCTGAGTTTTATTTGGTGTGCAAAGTGGAAACAAAACTACAGATGCAACAAGGGTGGAAAATGTATTTGTTGAACCATGAGGAAAGCTGGCTCATCCGGGATTTGAACCCGGGACCTCTCGCACCCAAAGCGAGAATCATACCCCTAGACCAACGAGCCATGGAACCTGGGTTTTATTTGGTGTGCAAAGTGGAAACAAAACTACAGATGCAACAAGGGTGGAAAATGTATTTGTTGAACCATGAGGAAAGCTGGGCTCATCCGGGATTTGAACCCAGGACCTCTCGCACCCTAAGCAAGAATCATACACCTAGACCAACGAGCCATGGTGTATGAGTTTTAGTTTGGTGTGCAAAGTGGAAAGAAAACTACAGTTATGATGCAAAAGGTGGATAATTTGAGTTGTTAACCATATTAAAGCTGGGCTCAATAAGGATTTGAACCCGGGACCTCTCGCTCTAAAGCGAGAATCATACCCCTAGACCAACGAGCCATGGAACATGTGTTTTCTTTTGGTGTGCAATGTGGAAACAAAACTACAGATGCAACAAGGTTGGAAAATATAGTTGTTGAACCATAATGAAAGCTGGGCTCGTCCGGGATTTGAACCCGGGACCTCTCGCACCCAAAGCGAGAATCATACCCCTAGACCAACGAGCCATGGAACCTGGGTTTTATTTGGTGTGCAAAGTGGAAACAAAACTACAGATGCAACAAGGGTGGAAAATGTATTTGTTGAACCATGAGGAAAGCTGGGCTCATCCGGGATTTGAACCCGGGACCTCTCGCACCCTAAGCAAGAATCATACCCCTAGACCAACGAGCCATGGTACCTGGGTTTTATTTGGTGTGCAAAGTGGAAACAAAACTACAAATGCAACAAGACTGGAAAATTTAGTTGTTGAACCATAATGCAAGCTGGGCTCGTCCGGGAATTAAACCCGGGACTTCTCGCACCCTAAGCGAGAATCATACCCCTAGACCAACAAGCCATGGAACATAGGAATTCTTTTGGTGTGCAATGTGGAAACAAATCTACAGATGCAACAAGGGTGAAAAATTTAGGTGTTGAACCATAATTAAAGCTGGGCTCGTCCTGGATTTGAACCCGCGACATCTCGAACTGTAAGCGAGAATCGTACCCCTAGACCAACGATCCATGTTGTATTGGTTTTATTTGCTGTGCAAAGTGCAAAAAAACTACAGATCCAACAAGGGTGGTAAATTTAGGTGTTGAACCATAATTAAAGCTGGGCTCGTCTAGGATTTGAACCCGGGACCTCTCGCACCCAAAGTGAGAATCAAACCCCTAGACCAACGAGCCTAGGTGTATGGGTTTTTATTTGTTGTGCAGAGTGGAAAGAAAACTACAAATGCAACAAGAGTGGAAAATTTAGTTGTTGAACCATAATGAAAGCTGGGCTCGTCCGGGATTTAAACCCAGGACCTCTCGCACCCTAAGCAAGAATCATACACCTAGACCAACGAGCCATGGTGTATGAGTTTTAGTTGGTGTGCAAAGTGGAAAGAAAACATGGTGTATGGGTTTTGTTTGATGTGCCAAAGTGGAAACAAAACTACAGATGCAACAAGGTTGGAAAATTTAGTTGTTGAACCATAATTAAAGCTGGGCTCAACAAGGATTTGAACCCGGGACCTCTCGCACCTAAAGCGAGAATCATACCCCTAGACCAACGAGCCATGGAACATGTGTTTTCTTTTGGTGTGCAATGTGGAAACAAAACTACAGATGCAACAAGGTTGGAAAATATAGTTGTTGAACCATAATGAAAGCTGGGCTCGTCCAGGATTTGAACCCGGGACCTCTCGCACCCAAAGCGAGAATCATACCCCTAGACCAACGAGCCATGGAACCTGGGTTTTATTTGGTGTGCAAAGTGGAAACAAAACTACAGATGCAACAAGGGTGGAAAATGTATTTGTTGAACCATGAGGAAAGCTGGGCTCATCCGGGATTTGAACCGGGGACCTCTCGCACCCAAAGCGAGAATCATACCCCTAGACCAACGAGCCATGGAACCTGGGTTTTATTTGGTGTGCAAAGTGGAAACAAAACTACAGATGCAACAAGGATGGAAAATGTATTTGATGAACCATGAGGAAAGCTGGGCTCATCCGGGATTTGAACCCAGGACCTCTTGCACCCAAAGCAAGAATCATACACCTAGACCAACGAGCCATGGTGTATGAGTTTTAGTTGGTGTGCAAAGTGGAAATAAAACATGGTGTATGGGTTTTATTTGATGTGCCAAAGTGGAAACAAAACTACAGATGCAACAAGGTTGGAAAATTTAGTTGTTGAACCATAATGAAAGCTGGGCTCGTCCGGGAATTGAACCTGGGACCTCTCGCACCCGAAGCAAGAGTCATACCCCTAGACAGAACAACGAGCCATGGAACCTGGGTTTTATTTGGTGTACAAAGTGGAAACAAAACTACAGATGCAACAAGGGTGGAAAATGTATTTGTTGAACCATGAGCAAAGCTGGGCTCATCCGGGATTTGAACCCGGGACCTCTCGCACCCAAAGCGAGAATCATACCCCTAGACCACCAGCCATGAAACCTGAGTTTTATTTGGTGTGCAAAGTGGAAACAAAACTACAGATGCAACAAGGGTTGTAAATCTATTTGTTGACCCATGAGGAAAGATGCGCTCATCCGGGATTTGAACCCGGGACCTCTCACACCCAAGGCGAGAATCATATCCCTAGACCAACGAGCCATGGTGTATGGGTTTTATTTGATGTGCCAATGTGGAAACAAAACTACTGATGCAACAAGAGTGGAAAATTTAGTTGTTGAACCATAATGAAAGCTGGGCTCGTCCAGGATTTGAACCCGGGACCTCTCGCACCCAAAGCAAGAATCATAGCCCTAGACCAACGAGCCATGGAACATGGGTTTTCTTTTGGTGTGCAATGTGGAAACAAAACTACAGATGCAACAAGGTTGGAAAATTTAGTTGTTGAACCATAATGCAAGCTGGGCTCGTCCGGGATTTGAAACCGGGACCTCTCGCACCGAAAGCGAGAATCATACCCCTAGACCAACGAGCCATGGAACCTAGGTTTTATTTGGTGTGCAAAGTGGAAACAAAACTACAGATGCAACAAGGGTGGAAAATGTATTTGTTGAACCATGAGGAAAGCTGTGCTCGTCCGGGATTTGAACCTGGGACCTCTCGCACCCTAAGCAAGAGTCATACCCCTAGACCAACGAGCCATGGAACATGGGTTTTCTTTTGGTGTGCATTTTGGAAACAAAACTACTGTTGCAAAACACATGGATAATATAGGTGTTGAACCAAAAGTAAAGCTGGGCTCGTCCGGGATTTGAACCCGGGTTGAAATTTGAGGTGTTAAACCATATTTAAAGACCCTAAGCAAGAATCATACCCCTAGACCAACGAGCCATGGAACCTAGTTTTTATATGGTGTGCAAAGTGGAAAGAAAACTACAGATGCAAAAAGAGTGGAAAATTTAGGTGTTAAACCATATTTAAAGATGGGCTCGCCCGGGATTTGAACCCAGGACTTGAACCAGGGACCTCTCGCACTCAAAGCGAGAATCTAGACCAACGAGCCATGGTGTATGGGTTTTATTTGATGTGCCAATGTGGAAACAAAACTACTGATGCAACAAGAGTGGAAAATTTAGTTGTTGAACCATAATGAAAGCTGGGCTCATCCAGGATTTGAACCCGGGACCTCTCGCACCTGAAGCAAGAATCATACCCCTAGACCAACGAGCCATGGAACATGGGTTTTTTTTGGTGTGCAATGTGGAAACAAAACTACTGATGCAAAACACATGGAAAATATAGGTGTTGAACCAAAATTAAAGCTGGGCTCGTCCAGGATTTGAACCCGGCACCTCTCGCACCCAAAGCGAGAATCATACCCTTAGACCAACGAGCCATGGAACCTGGGTTTTATTTGGTGTGCAAAGTGGAAACAAAACTACAGATGCAACAAGGGTGGAAAATGTATTTGTTGAACCATGAGGAAAACTGGGCTCATCCGGGATTTGAACCCGGGACCTCTCGCACCCAAAGCGAGAATCATACCCCTAGACCAACGAGCCATGGAACCTGGGTTTTATTTGGTGTGCAAAGTGGAAAGAAAACTACAGATGCAAAAAGAGTGGAAAATTTAGGTGTTAAACCATATTTAAAGATTGCACGCCCGGGATTTGAACCTTGGACTTGAACCCAGGACCTCTCGCACTCAAAGCGAGAATCATATCCCTAGACCAACGAGCCATGGTGTATGGGATTTATTTGATGTGCCAAAGTGGAAACAAAACTACAGATGCAACAAGGCTGGAAAATTTAGTTGTTGAACCATTATGAAAGCTGGGCTCATCCGGGATTTGAACCCAGGACCTCTCGCACCCAAAGCGAGAATCATACCCCTAGACCAACAAGCCATGGTACCTGAGTTTTATTTGGTGTGCAAAGTGGAAACAAAACTACAGATGCAACAAGGGTGAAAAATGTATTTGTTGAACCATGAGGAAAGCAGGGCTCATCCGGGATTTGAACCTGGGACCTCTCGCACCCAAAGCGAGAATCATACCCCTAGACCAACGAGCCATGGAACCTGGGTTTTATTTGGTGTGCAAAGTGGAAACAAAACTACAGATGCAACAAGGGTGGAAAATGTATTTGTTGAACCATGAGCAAAGCTGGGCTCATCCGGGATTTGAACCCGGGACCTCTCGCACCCAAAGCGAGAATCATACGCCTAGACCACCAGCCATGAAACCTGAGTTTTATTTGGTGTGCAAAGTGGAAACAAAACTACAGATGCAACAAGGGTTGTAAATCTATTTGTTGACCCATGAGGAAAGCTGCGCTCATCCGGGATTTGAACCCGGGACCTCTCGCACCCAAAGCGAGAATCATACCCCTAGACCAACGAGCCATGGAACCTGGTTTTTATTTGGTGTGCAAAGTGGAAACAAAACTACAGATGCAACAAGGATGGAAAATGTATTTGATGAACCATGAGGAAAGCTGGGCTCATCCGGGGTTTGAACCCAGGACCTCTCGCACCCTAAGCAAGAATCATACACCTAGACCAACGAGCCATGGTGTATGAGTTTTAGTTGGTGTGCAAAGTGGAAAGAAAACATGGTGTATGGGTTTTATTTGATGTGCCAAAGTGGAAACAAAACGACAGATGCAACAAGGTTGGAAAATTTAGTTGTTGAACCATAATTAAAGCTGGGCTCAACAAGGATTTGAACCCGGGACCTCTCGCACCTAAAGTGAGAATCATACCCCTAGACCAACGAAAGTGGAAACAAAACTACACATGCAACAAGGGTGGAAAATGTATTTGTTGAACCATGAGGAAAGCTGGGCTCATCCGGGATTTGAATCCGGGACCTCTCGCGCCCAAAGCGAGAATCATACCCCTAGACCAACGAGCCATGGAACCTGGGTTTTATTTGGTGTGCAAAGTGGAAACAAAACTACAGATGCAACTAGGGTGGAAAATGTATTTGTTGAACCATGAGGAAAGCTGGGCTCATCCGGGATTTGAAACCAGGACCTCTCGCACCCAAAGCGAGAATCATACCCCTAGACCAACGAGCCATGGAACCTGGATTTTATTTTGTCTGCAAAGTGGAAACAAAACTACAGATGCAACAAGGGTGGAAAATGTATTTGTTGAACCATGAGGAAAGCTGGGCTCATCCGGGATTTGAACCCGGGACCTCTCGCACCTTAAGCAAGAATCATTCCCCTAGACCAACAAGCCATGGAACCTGGGTTTTATTTGGTGTGCAAAGTGGAAAGAAAACTACAGATGCAAAAAAGAGTGGAAAATTTAGGTGTTAAACCATATTTAAAGATGGGCTCGCCCGGGATTTGAACCCAGGACTTGAACCCAGGACCTCTCGCACTCAAAGCGAGAATCATATCCCTAGACCAACGAGCCATGGTGTATGAGTTTTTTTTTATGTGCCAAAGTGGAAACAAAACTACAGATGCAAAAAGAGTGGAAAATTTAGGTGTTAAACCATAGTTAAAGCTGGGTTCTTCCAGGATTTGAACCTGGGACCTCTCGCATTCAAAGCGAGAATCATACCCCTAGTCCAACAAGCCATGGAATATTGGTTTCCTTTTGATGTGCAATGTGGAAACAAAACTACAGATGCAACAAGGTTGGAAAATTTAGTTGTTGAACCATAGTGAAAGATGGGCTCAACCGGGATTTGAACCCGGGACCTCTCGCACCCGAAGCAAGAATCATACCCCGAGACCAACGAGCCATGGAACATGGATTTTCTTTCCGTGTGCAATGTGGAAACAAGGTTGGAACAATATAGTTGTTGAACCATAATGAAAGCTGGGCTCGTCCAGGATTTGAACCCGGAACCTCTCACACCCAAAGCGAGAATCATACCCCTAGACCAACGAGCCATGGTGTATGAGTTTTATTTGGTGTGCAAAGTGGAAAGAAAACTACAGCTGCAACAAAGAGTGGAAAATTGAGGTGTTGAACCATATTTAAAGATGGGCTCGCCCGGGATTTGAGCTCGGGACTTGAACCCGGGACCTCTCTCACTCAAAGCGAGAATCATATCCCTAGACCAACAAGCCATGGTGTATGGGATTTATTTGAGGTGCCAAAGTGTAAACAAAACTACAGATGCAACAAGGTTGGAAAATTTAGTTGTTGAACCATAATGAAAGCTGGGCTCGTCCGGGATTTGAACCCGGGACCTCTCGCACCCGAAGCAAGAGTCATACCTCTAGACCAACAAGCCATGGAACATGAGTTTTCTTTTAGTGTGTAATGTGGAAACAAAACTACTGATGCAAAACACATGCAAAACATAGGTGCTGAACCATAATGAAAGCTGGGCTCGTCCAGGATTTGAACCCGGGACCTCTCGCACCCGAAAGCAAGAATCATACCCCTAGACCAACGAGCCATGGAACATGGGTTTTTTTTTTTGGTGTGCAAAGTGGAAACAAAACTACAGATGCAACAAGGGTGGTAAATCTATTTGTTGAACCATGAGGAAAGCTGGGCTCATCCGGGATTTGAACCCAGGACCTCTCGCACCCTAAGCAAGAATCTTACACCTAGACCAATGAGCCATGGTGTATGAGTTTTAGTTGTTGTGCAAAGTGGGAATAAAACTACAGATGCAAAAAGAGTGAAAAATTGAGGTGTTAAACCATATTTAAAGATTGCACGCCCGGGACTTGAACCCGGGACCTCTCGCACTCAAACGAGAATCATATCCCTAGACCAACGAGCCATGGTGTATGGGTTTTATTTGATGTGCCAAAGTGGAAACAAAACTACAGATGCAACAAGGTTGGAAAATTTAGTTGTTGAACCATAATTAAAGCTGGGTTCTTCCAGGATTTGAACCTGGGACCTCTCGCATTCAAAGCGAGAATCATACCCCTAGACCAACGAGCCATGGTGTATGGGTTTTTATTTGATGTGCCAAAGTGGAAACAAAACTACAGATGCAAAAAGAGTGGAAAATTTAGGTGTTATCCATAGTTAAAGCTGGGTTCTTCCAGGATTTGAACCTGGGACCTCTCGCATTCATAGCGAGAATCATACCCCTAGACCAACGAGCCATGGAACATGGAGTTTTTTTTGGTGTGCTATGTGGAAACAAAACTACTGAAGCAACAAGAATGGAAAATTTAGTTGTTGAACCATAATGAAAGCTGGGCTCATCCAGGATTTGAACCCGGGACCTCTCGCACCCGAAGCAAGAATCATACCCCTAGACCAACGAGCCATGGAACCTGGGATTTATTGCAAGTGGAAACAAAACTACAGATGCAACAAGGGTGGAAAATGTATTTGTTGAACCATGAGGAAAGATGGGCTCATCCGGGATTTGAACCCGGGACCTCTCGCACCCAAAGCGAGAATCATACCCCTAGACCAATGAGCCATGGAACATGGATTTTATTTGCTGTGGAAAAAGGAAACAAAACTACAGATGCAACAAGTTAGGAAATTTAGTTGTTGAACCATTATGAAAGCTGGGCTCGCCCAGGGTTTGAACCCAGGACCTCTCTCACTCGAAGAAAGAATCATACCCCTAGACCAACGAGCCATGGAACATGCGTAATCTTTTGGTGTGCAAAGTGGAAACAAAACTACAGATGCAACAAGGGTGAAAAATTTAGGTGTTGAACCATAATTAAACCCGGGACCTCTCGCACCCAAAGCGAGAATCATACCCCTAGACCAACGAGCCATGGAACATGAGTTTTCTTTTGGTGTGCAATGTGGAAACAAAACCACTGATGCAAAACACATGGAAAATATAGGTGTTGAACCAAAATTAAAGCTGGGCTCGTCCAAGATTTGAACCCAGGACCTCTCGCACCCGAAGCAAGAATCATACCCCGAGACCAACGAGCCATGGAACATGGGTTTTCTTTTCGTGTGCAATGTGGAAACAAAACTACTGATGCAACAAGGTTGGAAAATTTAGTTGTTGAACCTTAATGAAAGCTGGGCTCGTCCAGGATTTAAACCCAGGACCTCTCACACCCAATGCAAGAATCATACCCCTAGACCAACGAGCCATGGTGTATGAGTTTTATTTGGTGTGCAAAGTTGAAAGAAAACTACAGCTGCAACAAAGAGTGGAAAATTGAGGTTTTAAACCATATTTAAAGATGGGCTCGCCCGGGATTTGAGCTCGGGACTTGAACCCGGGACGTCTCGCACTTAAGGAGAGAATCATATCCCTAGACCAACGAGCCATGGTGTATAGGATTTATTTGATGTGCCAAAGTGGAAACAAAACTACAGATGCAACAAGGTTGGAAAATTTAGTTGTTGAACCATAATTAAAGCTGGGCTCAACAAGGATTTGAATCCGGGACCTCTCACACCCAAAGCGAGAATCATACCCCTAGACCAACGAGCCATGGTGTATGAGTTTTATTTGGTGTGCAAAGTGGAAAGAAAACTACAGCTGCAACAAAGAGTGGAAAATTGAGGTGTTGAACCATATTTAAAGATGGGCTCGCCCAGGATTTGAGCTCGGGACTTTGACCCGGGACCTCTCTCACTCAAAGCGAGAATCATATCCCTAGACCAACAAGCCATGGTGTATGGGATTTATTTGAGGTGCCAAAGTGGAAACAAAACTACAGATGCAACAAGGTTGGAAAATTTAGTTGTTGAACCATAATGAAAGCTGGCCTCGTCCGGGATTTGAACCTGGGACCTCTCGCACCCGAAGCAAGAGTCATACCCCTAGACCAACGAGCCATGGAACATGGGTTTTCTTTTGGTGTGTAATGTGGAAACAAAACTACTGATGCAAAACACATGGAAAACATAGGTGTTGAACCAAAATTATAGCTGGGCTAGTCCGGGATTTGAACACGGGACCTCTCGCACCCTAAGCAAGAAGCATACCCCTAGACCAACGAGCCTTGGAATCTTGGTTTTATTTGGTGTTCAAAGTGGAAACAAAACTACAGATGCAACAAGGTTGGAAAATTTAGTTGTTGAACCATAATGCAAGCTGGGCTTGTCCGGGAATTAAACCCGGGACCTCTCCCACCCTAAGCGAGAATCATACCCCTAGACCAACGAGCCTTGGAATCTTGGTTTTATTTGGTGTTCAAAGTGGAAACAAAACTACAGATGCAACAAGGTTGGAAAATTTAGTTGTTGAACCATAATGCAAGCTGGGCTCGTCTTGGAATTAAACCCGGGACCTCTCGCACCCTAAGCGAGAATCATACCCCTAGACCAACAAGCCATGGAACATAGGAATTCTTTTGGTGTGCAATGTGGAAACAAATCTACAGATGAAACAAGGGTGAAAAATTTAGGTGTTGAACCATAATTAAAGTTGGGCTCTTCCTTGAATTGAACCCGGGACTTCTCGAACTGTAAGCGAGAATCAAACCCCTAGACCAACGAGCCTAGGCGTATGGTTTTTTATTTGTTGTGCAAAGTGGACAGAAAACTACAAATGCAACAAGAGTGGAAAATTTAGCTGGGCTCATCCGGGATTTGAACCCGGGACCTCTCGCACTCTAAGCAAGAATCATACCCCTAGACCAACGAGCCATGGAACCTGGGTTTTATTTGGTGTGCAAAGTGGAAACAAAACCACAGATGCAACAAGGGTGGAAAATGTATTTGTTGAACCATGAGGAAAGCAGGGCTCCTCCAGGATTTGAACCTGGGACCTCTCGCATTCAAAGCGAGAATCCTACCCCTAGTCCAACAAGCCATGGAATATTGGTTTCCTTTTGATGTATAATGTGGAAACAAAACTACAGATGCAACAAGGTTGGAAAATTTAGTTGTTGAACCATAATGAAAGCTGGGCTCATCCAGGTTTTGAACCCGGGACCTCTCACACCCAAAGCGAGAATCATACCCCTAGACCAACGAGCCATGGTGTATGAGTTTTATTTGGTGTGCAAAGTGGAAAGAAAACTACAGCTGCAACAAAGAGTGGAAAATTTAGGTGTTGAACCATAATTAAAGCTGGGCTCGTCCTGGATTTGAACCCGGGACCTCTCGAACTGTAAGCGAGAATCATTCCCCTAGACCAACGAGCCATGGAACCTGGGTTTTATTTGGTGTGCAAAGTGGAAACAAAACTACAGATGCAACAAGGGTGGAAAATGTATTTGTTGAACCATGAGGAAAGCTGGGCTCATCCGGGATTTGAACCCGGGACCTCTCGCACCCTAAGCGAGAATCATACCCCTAGACCAACTAGCCATGGAAAATGGTTTTATTTGGTGTGCAAAGTGGAAACAAAACTACAGATGCAACAAGGGTGGAAAATATATTTGTTGAACCATGAGGAAAGCTGGGCTCATCCGGGATTTGAACCCAGGACCTCTCGCACCCAAAGCGAGAATCATACCCCTAGACCAACGAGCCATGGAACCCGGGTTTTATTTGGTGTGCAAAGTGGAAACAAAACTACAGATGAAACAAAGTGGAAAATGTATTTGTTGAACCATGAGGAAAGCTGGGCTCATCCGGGATTTGAACCCGGGACCTCTCGCGCCCAAAGCGAGAATCATTCCCCTAGACCAACGAACCATGGAACCTGGGTTTTATTTGGTGTGCAAAGTGGAAACAAAACTACAGATGCAACAAGGGTGGAAAATGTATTTGTTGAACCATGAGCAAAGCTGGGCTCATCCGGGATTTGAAACCAGGACCTCTCGCACCCTAAGCAAGAATCATACACCTAGACCAACGAGCCATGGTGTATGAGTTTTAGTTGGTGTGCAAAGTGGAAAGAAACTACAGATGCAAAAAGAGTGGAAAATTGAGGTGTTAAACCATATTTAAAGAGGGACTCGCCCGGGATTTGAGCACGGGACTTGAACCCGGGACCTCTCACACTCAAAGCGAAAATCATATCCCTAGACCAACGAGCCATGGTGTATGGGTTTTATTTGATGTGCCAAAGTGGAAACAAAACTACACATGCAACAAGGTTGGAAAATTTAGTTGTTGAACCATAATTAAAGCTGGGCTCAACAAGGATTTGAATCCGGGACCTCTCGCACCCAAAGCGAGAATCATACCCCTAGACCAACGAGCCATGGAACATGGGTTTTCTTTTGGTGTGCAATGTGGAAACAAAACTACAGATGCAACAAGGTTGGAAAATTTAGTTGTTGAACCATAATGAAAGCTGGGCTCGTCCGGGATTTGAACCTGGTACCTCTCGCACCCGAAGCAAGAGTCATACCCCTAGACCAACGAGCCATGGAACCTGGGTTTTATTTGGTGTGCAAAGTGGAAACAAAACTACAGATGCAACAAGGGTGGAAAATGTATTTGTTGAACCATGAGGAAATCTAGGCGGATCCAGGATTTGAACCCAGGTCCTCTCGCACCCTAAGCAAGAATCATACCCCTAGACCAACGAGCCATGGAACCTGGGTTTTATTTGGTGTGCAAAGTGGAAAGAAAACTACAGATGCAAAAAGAGTGGAAAATTTAGGTGTTAAACCATTTAAAGATGGGCTCGCCCGGGATTTGAACCTGGGACTTGAACCCGGGACCTCTCGTACTCAAAGCGAGAATCATATCCCTAGACCAACGAGCCATGGTTTATGTGTTTTATTTGATACTGATGCAACAAGTGTGGAAAATGTATTTGTTGAACCATGAGCAAAGCTGGGCTCATCCGGGATTTGAACCCGGGACCTCTCGCACCCAAAGCGAGAATCATACCCCTAGACAACCAGCCATGAAACCTGAGTTTTATTTGGTGTGCAAAGTGGAAACAAAACTACAGATGCAACAAGGGTTGTAAATCTATTTGTTGACCCATGAGGAAAGCCGCGCTCATCCGGGAATAGAACCCGGGACCTCTCGCACCCAAAGCGAGAATCATACCCCTACAGCAACAAGCCATGGAACCTGGGTTTTATTTGGTGTGCAAAGTGGAAACAAAACTACAGATGCAACAAGGATGGAAAATGTATTTGATGAACCATGAGGAAAGCTGGGCTCATCCGGGATTTGAACCCAGGACCTCTCGCACCCTAAGCAAGAATCATACACCTAGACCAACGAGCCATGGTGTATGAGTTTTAGTTGGTGTGCAAAGTGGAAAGAAAACATGGTGTATGGGTTTTATTTGATGTGCCAAAGTGGAAACAAAACTACAGATGCAACAAGGTTGGAAAATTTAGTTGTTTAACCATAATTAAAGCTGGGCTCAACATGGATTTGAACCCGGGACCTCTCCCACCCATAAGCGAGAATCATACCCCTAGACCAACGAGCCTTGGAACTTGGTTTTATTTGGTGTTCAAAGTGGAAACAAAACTACAGATGCAACAAGGTTGGAAAATTAGTTGTTGAACCATAATGCAAGCTGGGCTCGTCCGGGAATTAAACCCGGGACCTCTCGCACTGTAAGCGAGAATCATACCCCTAGACCAACAGCCATGTTGAACATAGGTTTTATTTGCTGTGCAAAGTGCGAAAAAAACTACAGATGCAACAAGGGTGGAAAATTTAGGTGTTGAACCATAATTAAAGCTGGGCTTGTCCAGGATTTGAACCCGGGACCTCTCGCACCCATAAGCGAGAATCATACCCCTAGACCAACGAGCCTAGGTGTATGGGTTTTTATTTGTTGTGCAAAGTGGAAAGAAAACTACAAATGCAACAAGAGTGGAAAATTTAGTTGTTGAACCATAATGAAAGCTGGGCTCGTCCGGGATTTGAACCCGGGACCTCTCGCACCTGAAGCAAGAATCATACCCCTAGACCAACGAGCCATGGAACATGGGTTTTCTTTTGGTGTGCAATGTGGAAACAAAACTACAGATGCAACAAGGTGGAAAACTAGTTGTTGAACCATAGGAAAGCTGGGCTCGTCCAGGATTTGAACCCGGGACCTCTCGCACCCAAAGCGAGAATCATACCCCTAGACCAACGAGCCATGGAACCTGGGTTTTATTTGGTGTGCAAAGTGGAAACAAAACTACAGATGCAACAAGGGTGGAAAATGTATTTGTTGAACCATGAGGAAAGCTGGGCTCATCCGGGATTTGAACCCGGGACCTCTCGCACCCTAAGCAAGAATCATACCCCTAGACCAACGAGCCATGGAACCTGGGTTTTATTTGGTGTGCAAAGTGGAAAGAAAACTACAGATGCATGCCATACAAACCTGTGGAGGACTTGTGAACCCGAAAGACCATCTGGGCTCGTCCGGGATTTGAACCCGGGACCTCTAGCACCCGAAGCATACCCCTAGACCAACGAGCCATGGAACATGGGTTTTTTTTGGTGTGCAATGTGGAAACAAAACTACAGATGCAACAATGAAAAATTAGTGTTGAACCAAAATGAAAGCTGGGCTCATCCGGGATTTGAACCCGGGACCTCTCGCACCCAAAGCGAGAATCATACCCCTAGACCAACGAGCCATTGAGTTTTATTTGGTGTGCAAAGTGGAAACAAAACTACAGATGCAACAAGGGTGGAAAATGTATTTGTTGAACCATGAAGAAAGCTGGGCTCATCCGGGATTTGAATCCGGGACCTCTCGCACCCAAAGCGAGAATCATACCCCTAGACCAACGAGCCATGAACCTGGGTTTTATTTGGTGTGCAAAGTGGAAACAAAACTACAGATGCAACAAGGGTGGAAATTATTTGTTGAACCATGAGGAAAGCTGGGCTCATCCGGGATTTGAACCCAGGACCTCTCGCACCCTAAGCAAGAATCTTACACCTAGACCAATGAGCCATGGTGTATGAGTTTTAGTTGGTGTGCAAAGTGGAAAGAAAACTACAGATGCAAAAAGAGTGGAAAATTGAGGTGTTAAACCATATTTAAAGATTGCACGCCCGGGATTTGAGCCCGGGACTTGAACCCGGGACCTCTCGCACTCAAAGCGAGAATCATATCCCTAGACCAACGAGCCATGGTGTATGGGTTTTATTTGATGTGCCAAAGTGGAAACAAAACTACAGATGCAACAAGGTTGGAAAATTTAGTTGTTGAACCATAATGAAAGCTGGGCTCGTCCGGGATTTGAACACGGGACCTCTCGCACCCAAAGCGAGAATCATACCCCTAGACCAACAAGCCATGGAACCTGGGTTTTATTTGGTGTGCAAAGTGGAAAGAAAACTACAGATGCAAAAAGAGTGGAAAATTTAGTGTTAAACCATAGTTAAAGCTGGGTTCTTCCAGGGTTTGAACCTGGGACCTCTCGCCTTCAAAGCGAGAATCATACCCCTAGTCCAACAAGCCATGGAATGTTGGTTTCCTTTTGGTGTGCAATGTGGAAACAAAACTACAGATGCAAAAAGAGTGGAAAATTTAGGTGTTAAACCATAGTTAAAGCTGGGTTCTTCCAGGATTTGAACCCGGGACCTCTCGCACCCAAAGCGAGAATCATACCCCTAGACCAACGAGCCATGGATCCTGGCTTTTATTTGGTGTGCAAAGTGGAAACAAAACTACAGATGCAACAAGGGTGGAAAATGTATTTGTTCAACCATGAGGAAAGCTGGGCTCATCCGGGATTTGAACCCAGGACCTCTCACACCCTAAGCAAGAATCATACACCTAGACCAACGAGACATGGTGTATGAGTTTTAGTTGGTGTGCAAAGTGGAAAGAAAACATGGTGTATGGGTTTTATTTGATGTGCCAAAGTGGAAACAAAACTACAGATGCAACAAGGTTGGAAAATTTAGTTGTTGAACCATAATTAAAGCTGGGCTCAACAAGGATTTGAACCCGGGACCTCTCGCACCCAAAGCAAGAATCATACCCCTAGACCAACGAGCCATGGAACATGTGTTTTCTTTTGGTGTGCAATGTGGAAACAAAACTACAGATGCAACAAGGTTGGAAAATTTAGTTGTTGAACCATAATGAAAGCTGGGCTCGTCCGGGATTTGAACCTGGGACCTCTCGCACCCTAAGCAAGAATCATAACCCTAGACCAACGAGCCTTGGAATCTTGGTTTTATTTGGTGTTCAAAGTGGAAACAAAACTACAGATGCAACAAGGTTGGAAAATTTAGTTGTTGAACCATAATTAAAGCTGGGCTCAACAAGGATTTGAACCCGGGACCTCTCGCACCCAAAGCGAGAATCATACCCCTAGACCAACGAGCCATGGAACACGGGTTTTCTTTTGGTGTGCAATGTGGAAACAAAAATACAGATGCAACAAGGTTGGAAAATTTAGTTGTTGAACCATAATGAAAGCTGGGCTCGTCCGGGATTTGAACCTGGGACCTCTCGCACCCGAAGCAAGAGTCATACCCCTAGACCACCAGCCATGAAACCTGAGTTTTATTTGGTGTGCAAAGTGGAAACAAAACTACAGATGCAACGAGGGTGGAAAATGTATTTGTTAAACCATGAGCAAAGCTGGGCTCATCCGGGATTTGAACCCGGGACCTCTCGCACCCAAAGCGAGAATCATACCCCTAGACCACCAGCCATGGAACCTGAGTTTTATTTGGTGTGCAAAGTGGAAACAAAACTACAGATGCAACAAGGGTTGTAAATCTATTTATTGACCCATGAGGAAAGCTGCGCTCATCCGGGATTTGAACCCGGGACCTCTCGCACCCTAAGCAAGAATCATACCCCTAGACCAACAAGCCATGGAACCTGGATTTTATTTGGTGTGCAAAGTGGAAACAAAACTACAGATGCAACAAGGATGGAAAATGTATTTGATGAACCATGAGGAAAGCTGGGTTCATCCGGGATTTGAACCCAGGACCTCTCGCACCCTAAGCAAGAATCATACACCTAGACCAACGAGCCATGGTGTATGAGTTTTAGTTGGTGTGCAAAATGGAAAGAAAACATGGTGTATGGGTTTTATTTGATGTGCCAAAGTGGAAACAAAACTACAGATGCAACAAGGGTGGAAAATGTATTTGTTGAACCATGAGGAAAGCTGGGCTCATCCGGGATGAGGAAAGCTGGGCACGTCCTGGATTTGAACCCGCGACCTCTCGAACTGTAAGCGAGAATCGTACCCCTAGACCAACGAGCCATGTTGTATTGATTTTATTTGCTGTGCAAAGTGCAAAAAAACTACAGATCCAACAAGGGTGGAAAATTTAGGTGTTGAACCATAATAAAAGCTGGGCTCGCCTAGGATTTGAACCCAGGACCTCTCGCACTCAAAGCGAGAATCAAACCCCTAGAGCAACGAGCCATGGTGTATGGGTTTTATTTGATGTGCCAATGTGGAAACAAAACTACTGATGCAACAAGAGTGGAAATTTTAGTTGTTGAACCATAATGAAAGCTGGGCTCGTCCAGGATTTGAACCCGGGACCTCTCGCACCCGAAGCAAGAATCATACCCCTAGACCAACGAGCCATGGAACATGGGGTTTTTTTTGGTGTGCAATGTGGAAACAAAACTACTGATGCAAAACACATGGAAAATATAGGTGTTGAACCAAAATTAAAGCTGGGCTCGTCCGGGATTTGAACCCGGGACCTCTCGCACCCAAAGCGAGAATCATACCCCTAGACAAACGAGCCATGGAACCTGGGTTTTATTTGGTGTGCAAAGTGGAAACAAAACTACAGATGCAACAAGGGTGGAAAAAGTATTTGTTGAACCATGAGGAAAGCTGAGCTCATCCGGGATTTGAACCCGGGACCTCTCGCACCTAAAGCGAGAATCATACCCCTAGACCAACGAGCCATGGAACATGTGTTTTCTTTTGGTGTGCAATGTGGAAACAAAACTACAGATGCAACAAGGTTGGAAAATATAGTTGTTGAACCATAATGAAAGCTGGGCTCGTCCAGGATTTGAACCCGGGACCTCTCGCACCCAAAGCGAGAATCATACCCTAGACCAACGAGCCATGGAACCTGGGTTTTATTTGGTGTGCAAAGTGGAAAGAAAACTACAGATGCAAAAAGAGTGGAAAATTTAGGTGTTAAACCATATTTAAAGATGGGCTCGCCCGGGATTTGAACCCAGGACTTGAACCTGGGACCTCTCGCACTCAAAGTGAGAATCATATCCCTAGACCAACGAGCCATGGTGTATGGGTTTTATTTGATGTGCCAATGTGGAAACAAAACTACTGATGCAACAAGAGTGGAAAATTTAGTTGTTGAACCACAATGAAAGCTGGGCTCGTCCAGGATTTGAACCCGGGACCTCTCGCACCCTAAGCAAGAATCATACCCCTAGACCAACAAGCCATGGAACCTGGGTTTTATTTGGTGTGCAAAGTGGAAAGAAAACTACAGATGCAAAAAGAGTGGAAAATTTAGGTGTTAAACCATATTTAAAGATTGCACGCCCGGGATTTGAGCCCGGGACTTGAACCCAGGACCTCTCGCACCCAAAGCGAGAATCATACCCCTAGACCAACGAGACATGGAACCTGGGTTTTATTTGGTGTGCAAAGTGGAAACAAAACTACAGATGCAACAAGGATGGAAAATGTATTTGTTGAACCATGAGGAAAGCTGGGCTCATCCGG